TAAATAACTAGAACCACTATAGTTACACTTAAGTCAACAAGATAAATAACTAGAACCACTACAGTTACACTTAAACCAACAAGATAAATAACTAGAACCATTATAGTTACACTTAAGTCAACAAGATAAATAACTAGAACCACTATAATTATTCCTAAGTCAACAATATGAATAGCAATTTGAAACCAATAGTTATTCCTTAATTCACAATATGAATAACTAAAATTACAACTGGGCATGTAAGTCAATTACTTACGAGCATTGATTAGTGTTATATGTAAAATAATCAACTAATCAAAATTAGTATTTCTGATTATTACTGTTTTCAGTTATTCCAACTATCCAAGTAATCAAAGTACTTCCATTATGGTTTTCTCATTATTATTTTTGATTAATTCAAAGTTGTCCAGTTTAAATTATTAGTGTCATGATTCATGAAAAAAATCAACTGATCAAAATTAGTGTTTCTGATAATTATTATTTTTGATTATTACAACAAGTTTCATGCGAGATTAATTGATGAGTTGAATGTATTCAATTAATGAGCTCAATGATTAATCAATTATCAAAAACCACTAATGACTCAGCTTTAACTGAAATAAAACAATTTCTTATTAGAAAATGTCTAGTATAAAATTTGGTTGGTAATAATTACTGAGAATAAAATGCCAAAGAAAACTACAGTCCATATTAGTTAACCAAATAAAGTAATGAAAAGCATTTGGATGCTGATATAAGTAAGAGAAGAAGGCCATGAAGACACCCGGGGCAACGGGACACATGCTTAACTGGAAAATACATGCCAAGCCTGTATCATTAGGTAATAAAAGATAGAAAAACCAGCAATTCATTTTACCAGTAGGAAGTAGAAGCCATTAAATCAACAGATTGATGAGAAATCTATGGAGTCTAGGGTGTACTATCAGATATTGAGGAATATCTCACACCACATTCAGGGAGGAGTTCAAAGAAATAAAAACACTAAACTTGAGCCCTACAGAGAAGGGGTGTATGGAAGGAAATGCATACGAAGCAGAGGTCAAGCAGCCTGGATTTTAGATATGTCAGAGATAGAGATAAGAATGCACCAAACTCTAAGAAAATATACAAGTTAATAGTATGCTCCAAAGCTGATGCAATGCTTTACTGGTAAGAAATAACCAACTGGAACCCAGGAACAGTAGTTACGGTTTTAGTTTTCCTTAACAGTCAATCAAAAGCCAAGAAACATGTGCTGTGGTTAAGGTTCTGCCTAGAATGACAACAACACCCTATTAATTAAGTATAAAAAGTCATGGTTTTAAAATACGGGAACAAGACAAAAACAAGAAGATAGCCCTTCTGCTCTTCAGTGAATCCTCTGAAAAGATGTCAGCTTCAGCATCTGTGGAGAACTTTCAATGCTCAAACTTTATGCAAGTTTAAATGTCTTCTTTACTTCCTCTAGTAACATAATTAATATACAGTACATCATGACAGAAGGTCTAGTAAAAGTTAACCAATGAAATGATTTACTGAGTATCATGGAGATGTTAATAAAGTATAGTAGAGGAATTCTTCGTTAAACATCTAAATGTTAGAGAGATCAATGGAAAAGTAAATTGTCTCAGAGTTGTTTCTTTGCTCTATTGACATAGATTTCCTAGAGTTGGTGGCTTGTGAACCTTACCCACAACTGCATATAACAAAATAGAGTGTAGGTTGAACCCAATGACAAGAGAGAACTCATTACAGGAATTAATACAGTTATTCCTACACCAAAAAATTACTTTGTGGATGCTTACTCTGCCACATAGGATCTGTTTCCATGCTGCTGTAGAGGTATTGTAGAAACTTCTCAACCAGCTGTGCCTTTAAAAAACAAAAAAACAATATTGTAAACATATGATCCATTTTAGTCTTCATGGTTGTATCAGTTCGTTAGTTAAAGCTAACATTACTGATGGCAGACCCCTTTTGGCTTTCTAAAAAACATTCCTTCAAAACTATTTATGCCTCAAATTGCTTATGGATCTTTGTCTTTATTTGTTACAGGGTCTCTAATGACCTTTGAGTCACATGACAGGATGTAAACAAAAATTACCATCAATACTACAAAGAAAGACCAGTAACTAATGCTGGATACCTTATGTAATTTACATAGAGAATAAAGGATTGCACCTATTTATTTAGTTGAGTTCATTACACTTTTGAAATAGTTGATTAAATTTAATTAGATATAAAAGTAGCCTATAATTTATCAGCCTATAATATTGTGAATCTAGTGGATTCTAGACATCAAAAACATAATGATGGAAGAATACTAATTCAGTATATCCTTGTCACCATAATATGCCAAACAAAGTCAAATTTGTGTAAAAAGTTTTTTGACAATGTTCTTGTCATGATATTTATACATTTTCATTCCATATCGTTGTTACACAAGTAACTGTTTTGAAAACCAAAGTTTATTGCAATTCACTCTAATGATCTTCTTTAAATTACCAAAAAGTATATTAATATACTAAGTTCAAGCCTGAAAGCATAATCTTTTAGGTAATTCATATGTTATCACAGAATAAAGGCTAAAACAAAGAGCTTTATTGTACACTTAAAACACCAGTTATCTTAAAACAAAAAAAGAAAAAAAAAACTACACTTACTTGCATAAAAGTATATAAAATGAGAAATACGTAATAAAATATGGTTGTGTTTTTTTTTAACAGCAATAAAAAATTGTGATAATAATAATTCAATTATCGTAACATGGTTTATGAATGTTAACATTTTTAAGTATATGGTGCTTATAAAGAAATGAATGTATCTTAATTAACATTACTTCTTTCAAAGGAACTAAGTTTCTTCAAAGCACATAGAGAATCATAATCTTACTTTCTATTCAGGAAAATCTGGATATAGGGCAGCATGCTTTCTATCAAACCTCTCCTTAAATAAAAATACTGCAAACACCATCTGTTATGGTCAGTATTCATTGCTCCTCATAGTGTTCTGCACATTGACGTGCATCTCATTCAAATAACAAATCTCTTATTATTGAAAGAAATAATATCAATGCTGGTTTGCAAAAAGTGGTTTGAAACACCCTGGTACCACTTCCCCAATTAAAACATAAGAAACTCAATGTGCCTTTGATGAGATTTTATTTTCACATGATGATTATATTTTTTCTAACATCTTACCTTCTCATCAGATACTGTTAATGCTTGAAACTTGCGAACAAACAGCTGTATATTTCGATCGTTCTTTTCCAAAAACGTACGGACACACATGGCAATCAGATACTTGGTACAAACGTGTTTGTCTCTTTAAAAATAAGAAAATCATGGGACAAAACATGATTTTTTACTTTAATAAAAACAAAATATTTTCTTTAATACCAAAAAACAAATGCTAATACAATTAAGAAAGTGAAACACATTTACAGCATTTTAAATTTTTACTCAGAAACAACAATCACCTCTAAATTTGTCTTTCATATATTAATAGTTATTAACATATAGAGTAAGACCTCGCTTAGTGCCATGCTACTTTAAGCTGGTTTGTTATAGAGCTCTTGTCTCCTTGAGAGATTCTTTTTTCATGAGAGAAAAAAAAAATTATGAAAATCTGTAACTCTCTGAAAATATAAATTTTTCTGGCATTTCTAGTGACACAATATTAACCGTTAAAATGTTATCCATTTAAACAATATTGTTCCCATGGAAAAAAAACATTTTCTTAGGAAGTGATCTACAAATCTCTGTATTTTTTCCAGCGATGACGATATTATAGTGAGTAATTCATATTAAATTTACCAGTACCTAAATAAAGCACAGGTAAGAAATAATGCCTTCAGTTAGATATATCCATATATGTAATGTTAAAATAACCCTGTGTACAGATGATTCGTTTAGAGCTCTGTTCTCAGAAACCATTCCTGAGCACTAAAGTGGGCATTACTGTACTTATAATTACAAGTTATATACATTTATCAACTAACAAAAGTATTTGAAAATGTCTTGCTTAAAATGTAATGCTATAATTGGAGTATGTGGCCTACATCTTTTCACTATTTTGAGTTACAGCACATGATCTGTTTCTCCAAAGGTGCTTGTCGTACGTGCAACGTTAGATGTCACTTTCATTTAGCATTGGTTTCACATGTTTAGCTGCTGATATCTTCTTCACTCAGTAGAGCCCTCACTTATGGCACTAAGGTTGCCAAACTTGAAACTTGATCGTTATGGATTCATCTGAGTTAATTTACCAAATTTCAGCCAGTTCCTCACAATAATTTGTGACACCAGCCATACAACTCTGTTTATATATATAGTATACTGTTTATTCACCACATCTTATCATGTTCCATAGCTAACTCACCAAAAAACATACACCATAAAACATCACTCTACCACTTAAGATATGTAATTAACTATTATTAACACATTCATAACTTCACTACATGTATTTTTAAGTAAGTGTTTCTAACTCAAAAGACATCTATTAGAGTTATTAACTGTCATTTTACTTGTAATGTTGTCCTGAAGTTCAAAACAGAAGTGATATAAATGCAAATGCTTTCCCATTTATTTTTTACTGAGGAGGAACAATGTTCACAAGGTATAAACAACATAATGGAAAAACAACAAAGAGCAACAGTATCAAACATGATTATAGGGTAAATCTTCAAAGACTATTCCACAAAAGAAAAAACTGTTTCAACAGTAGTTAATTTTTTGTAATTGTTCTTCACAGAATGGCATGTTATCAAGTTAATAAAATCATGAATCAATGACCTGTTAGGTATCACCACATAGTTTTATACACTTGATTCAAAAACTAGTCACAAAAACTGGTCTCTACAAGGTTAGTACAAATTACTATCAATGACATAAGGCTTTCATTACCCTGTTGAAAGACAAGAGAAAATGCTCAAATTTCCACAGTGCAGTAATATTTATTAGGCGTGTTTTAAAATAAAAAAAAAAGCTAAGTCTGATAAATAAAACACAGGGTGATTTATGCTTTGTAGTGTGATGCATCCTCAATTTAAAACAGTGGTGATGTGAAGTGTATCATTACACAGTGTAACACCTCAAGCATTTTACACACAAGATACACATAAAGTAATCAGATGAAGCTTTTTAGTTATATATGATCTAATTCCACACACAGATAAATCCTGACAAAAAGCAAAAGTAGTCACTATTCAATAGTTTCATTTTTTCACTTTCTTATTCACCATTCAGCTGGTAGTTTCACTTTTAAAATCATTATTCAGCCACTAGTTTGCCTTTTAATTTTGTTTTTAAAGTTTCTATCAAAATAGTTTCATCTTGTACTATTTTTAACACCTTGAAAGTTTAGTGTTCCCAAAACTCAGGACATTTTCATGGACATACAAGCTGTACTCACACTACCAATAGGAAATTTAATGTCAAAATACACTATTCTTACATTTCTATATTTCAAATACATAATGTATGCTGTGAGGGTGGTAAGAAACTGGTCTGTTGAACAAAAAGTGAAATAATTTGATAAAAATACAATTATTTTCTCATTAATATTGGGAATTCAATTTAAAGACTTGCTTTTATAAACAGTTTTAGGTTGTTATTTAGAAATCAAAATAATTTTGTATTAAATAATTTGAAATCAGTTGAAATAAAAAAAAAAAATTGTGTGTCAAATTTGAGTTTGCTACTTTGAAAATAAAGCAGCCATATATGGGTTGATTAACTCATAATGTTTATAACAACTTTCATTAATAATCAGCAGACACACAATATTTAATTGTGCTGAATTAACAGCTAAGCATACTCTGTCTTATCTAAACATAACACAGAAATTAAGTAGATACCTTAACACAGTAGCTTGCAGCCTTTCTCACTCATGGACCAGCAAAAAAACTTAAGGACATTTAGGAGTAGATAAACCTATAATACAAATTCTGACTATATACTACTGTATATAACCTAAAGATATTAAGTACATAGAATGTAGATAAAGTTAAGGATGTGAAAGCACTTTGAAAAGCTTTAGAATCTTAATAATATGCATATTTATTCAGAAAAATATATATACATATTTTTAATTACCATTATTATACATTTGTTTATTCATTTTTCATTGGATGTTTCTGAGAATGACAAAAACAGTGTGGTATTCTTGATTGAATGGAACGTTTGCACACTGGTAAACTAGCCTGGTAGAACAAAAAGTTTAAAGTTTTGGTTGAATGGAATGTTAATGTGAGAACAATTGTAAAAGAGAAGACACTAACAAGATTGAGAAACATAACTAGGCACTGTTTCTTTTGTATTATACAATTGCTTTGCATATCTTTGGGATGACAAGGTAGATTTAAGATAAAAATGATAATACTACAAACTTGAAATCAGAGTATGGCAACGCACAGTCAGGATATACAATAAACTATGTAAATACATGTCACTTTACAGCTTGTCTTAGCCCTGAATGTGCCTAAACTGTTCTCATAATTCATATTCCCTTTATAGCTGATCTATCACAAACTTGGACTGCAAAAAGCCAAAATGTGTCTGATCCACAAGACAGTCACAAAAGTATCCTCCATACAAAGGTGCAGCAGGACAAAATGCAACTATCCCCTAATAGAGCAGATAAGATCTTGACCAGACAAGCTACGAACATTAACACTCATGCTGAATTTTGCACATGATCTCAACTGGATTTATCATATCGCAGAATTAGAACTTGGAAATGTTTAAAAATTTTGTAGATAAGAAATATATTTTGTAGGAGAGTGGGGTATTTTGTATCTGCATAATAAATCAGTACTGGTCTGCAAACCAGTGATTGGGAACCACTGCCCAAGTTACCAAATTTCATAAAATTTCTAACACTTGTTTCAGCATCCTTACCTTACTATTCTTGAAGTTAAAGCATCCAGATGTGCTAGTGTTGAAAGTAGTCCTTGTCTACACCTTACTAAGTATGCTATGTATGGAGCCCGCCGTCTGTAATCTTCCTTTAAGGATCGGAACAGCTTCTGACATCTACATAAATATTACGTAAATTAGGTGGGTCCAACCAATGTAGCAGAAACAATGCTCATAACTTAATAGTGGTAAATGTTACTTCTTTTACCCAGATTGATCAGAAGCACTATTTTTACACACCTTTGATTTATAATCTATAATGGAAAAAGTAAGAGGAATATGGAGTGCTGAGGAACAAATCTCCCTATAGCTTACATGACTTTTATCTCAAATTTTAGGCCAATTAGTTGGTTTCTAATTCTTTACCAGGTTTCAGCAATTTAAATTATGACTACTTCTAACCTGAGTTGTAAACCAGAATGGATGGCAACTGCCTGTCGTAAACAACACAAGTGTAGAGGATGATGTTTCAAAAGTCATACTCTACATTTGTTGCCATCCATTCTAGTTTACTCATCATGAATACTCTGCCTAAACAATCTATCAAAGAATACTTCTGTTGTTTTTTTTATTTTATACTGAGACACAATGGCTTACCAGTGCATTTTTTATAATAAAATATTAGTAAAGGCCATGATTTCCTGAAAACTAAACAAAAACCGTAGTTTAAAAAAAAACAGTAGAGAGAATTATATTAGATTTTATTTGTGTATGCAAGGTTTATTGCAGAATACTGTCAATAACTCTATTTATTCTTATTTTATGCAAAAACTGTATACATACCCATTGTTGTCAAACATGTGGACACACCGAAGTGCTTCATGAAGGTGTGCCACAAGAGGTCTTTGATGCAAATTGATGGCTTCTGCTAACAATACCTTCAAAAATGGTACTAGCTCATTTTCTTGGGATCTTGAGCTTTCAGACATGTCAACAAGAGGAAAATTACGTCCTGGCCATGTGGATAGCCAAGGAAGAGTTTGGATGTCTGCTGAGCCTAAAACTATACGGAGCTTTCTTTTAGCATCATTAAAAATAAATGATGCCTCCAGATTGGAAGAATCAAAAACAGTTGGTTCCTCATCAGCAGGCATTCCTTCTCTTTCTTGTACAGCTTGTTGTGACTGGCCAACTTCCAAATGTGGAGAGATGGGATTTTTCCTGTACTTTGCCAAAATCTCATCACTTGTTTCTATGTGATAGAAAATACAGACGTTAATCAAAAAGAAAAAAGAAAGATAAAAATTCAAACACAGAAACCATGTTACTGGGTCTAAAGTAATAGTAATCTATTTATGAAATTTAAAGCTGAACAAATGATTTAAGAAACAATGAACTGTCAAAACAAGTAGACTGATATATTTCTCTACTATCTCTCAGTACTTAAAAATAGTGCCTCTAAGACACACCTATGTTTTTGTTTTTCTACTGAAAGTACTATAAAGATAATATGGATTGAATCTTTACTATAACTTTGTTTTTAAAGAGTCAAAAATGAACAACAACAAAAACACAACAGAGAATAAGTAATCTTAATATAAAACAATATATCTGCCAAAAGAATAATTAACATTAATATCAACCAATACTTACATAAACATTATTAAGACTAATGTCAATTACTGTCTGTCAAAGAAGTATTAACACTTTTTTACATATATGGCAAAGCTACTTAGGTTATCTGCCACAATCCTTGATTTTGAACTACTAACCAAGGGTAATGAAGCCAGTAAGTAGCACCCTACTACCCACATTAAGGGATTGACTGTCACTCTTATAACAAAACCACAGTTTAAAGTGTGGAAAATATTTTTTGGTACCACACAGACTTGGGCCCATTTTGCCAGCACCTATATCCAGAGCACCACTACAAGACCAACTCACACTCCCATTATTAACACTAATGTCAATTACTGTCTCTACAAGATTAATCAATACTGATCAGCTGAAAATACCACTGTAACAGTGTTAAATTTGAAAAACTGAGAGTGAAAAATATATTTCTTTACAATTAATAATTATTCACAATACAAGATGAACCTGCTAAAAAATTACATAATTAACGTACTCTACAGAAGGTTTTTCTTTGCTGCTTTTCTTTATGGCAATATGATGTATCTCAGAGCAACAATACTTCTTTTCTAGCCTTGTTTAATCGAACGAAAATATTTTATCTGTTTCAACAAACCAATACACAGATAGTCACATAGTGTGATGCATTTATGACAGCCCTGATCTAAAGTAAAACTACTTAAAGATACTTTACCAAAATTTTTGAAATTCTATACTTGTGTTAAAAACTTCCGAGTCATTAAATAGTTCCATAAAATATAATCTTATCCAAATTAAAAAGGGATTTTCATTTCCACAGCTTTTAGTTATGACAAAAGTTAAGCTTTCTATTTCACATTTAATATATAATCATCTGTAAATAGCTAATATTGAGAGAAAATTTTGATTTAATTAAACAGTACTTAGTGATTTGCTAATTCAGACAGTTTTTGTTGTCACCTAATGACATCGCATTGTTACTGTTTTAAAGGGTTAAGAAGTTATTCAACAAAACTACAGCATTGATTACAATATTATTTTGTTACACATTTAATAGTACTTAAGTTGTCACCAAGCCTATTACTGCACAAACCACATCAACCTTTTATTCTCCTGAAGAATAATAGTGAAATATTCAAAAGCACTCTAGTTTTGAATCTCATTTGATGCCCTACAATATTCCTTTATTACGTTTTTTTGTAAAAAGTATCACTACAGATCTAAGAAAGTTTTTGATAAATTCAAGTAATATAGTTTAACTGTCTGTATGTGTAATAAACTATTTATTTTTATATTTTCTACTCTTTCCATTTTCACTGAAAATTTGTTCTCAATTTAAGAATTAGTAATAAATCAACAGAATTTACAAATTGTTTAATTTTCAAAATATAACAGCCCATACCAATAAATGTATAAAACATGGATCTCTCTAACCTCAGCATAAAATCTGCCTAGAATGCTAATAAGATTTGTGATGCAGTTTGTAAATTACATTTAAATGAATTAGCGTGATTTCAGTGTCCTGCACAAAACTGACATCTGCAAAGTTCTGCTGCTTAAATGACTCTGTAGCTCTTCATCTGTAACTGAATCTTAACGCCATAAGATATGGTCATTTTCATTTTATGGGTTTCACGAAATTTTTGGTAATTAGGCCTAAATAAATCAGCATGTTTTCAATATGATGCAAAAAACTGTCTTATGCAAGTTTCTGCAATAACATTATGGAATCATGGCAACAGCCTTGATAAACAGACAATATTAATGTGATTTGTTGCCAGGTTTTAAAAAGAACATTGAAAATGTTACACAACATGTGATGAGCTCCTGGCCAATCATGGCAAAGAATTTACATTAAGGAGTAGAAAATTACTTTTTCTGCAACATTACAGATAAGAAGAAAGCTATTATTAATTCACTAAAACGTATAACCAGTGTACACTTAATAGTGAAGATTTTATTTATACAAAACACATATAGCAGGTTAATTTAAAAGCTGACACATTACCACGAATAGAAAAACTGTAAAATCTTTAAAAAAATTTATCCTCACAGAATATCTTGAATATGGAATCCATAAGTAAAAAAAAAAAAAATGAAGTAATAATACTTTCTTACTCTTACCTTGATATGATGGTCTAACTTCTTCAGAATAAGCTCGCTGTAGTTGGCGATAGGTTATTCGCTCTTTAGATTCCGTCAAAACAATGTCACCATTACCACCTATTTTTGTACAATAATGTAATTTGTTTTATAAAACGATGTAAATACTACTCAGTATAACTAAATGACATTTCACTATAACTACATATGTAAATCATTTTGATCTAACCTTCAAAGACCTTTAAAGATAAGATATATGTATTGTATTGCTCAAACCATCACTAAAGCTGCAAATGTGACACATTAACACAGCAGTACTGATCACCAGGAATGTATTTAAATATAAAATTTACATTTCAGAAAATTGTTTTTTTCTTCTATAACCAAACAAAGTGCACAAAAGAAATTTGAAAAAATAAATATAAAGACTTAACAAAACTTGATAAAACTTTACAGATAACAAAACATCCTTTTCAACTCAAGAGAATCCAAACATTTGTCAATAGGTTCTATGGTAAACTGCTTCAATGTAAAGGGCTTTTGCAAATGAATCTCCTTACAATATAAACAGAATCTTCAGCAAGAATACGTACCCATACTAAATATCAAAAGGATCATGCAGGATAGTCTTATTCATATTAACTTTATGAAACGAATTTGAACTGGCTTTAATATAAATAATCCTATTTTAATCCTACATTAAACCTACCATTAGTTTTGAAAGAACAGAAGTTTATAAAATTTATTGAAAGGAAATTCAAGGCAGTATTTCCAAATTCTCTTTAGAGAAAGTCACACTGAAATGACTTTTAATTAAATGTTGTTTTTTAAAAAACTGTATGACAGTTACAGAAATAAGTTACAATGATTGCTTTCAACCACAATATGTTGAAAGTACTGCTAGATAAAAATGAAATCCATTTTGTGCAGTAATAATGCAACAGGTAAAACAATACTACAGCAAAATAAAGTATCACAATAAATGCAAAGTTTTTTCATAGGGTTATATGTGCTGTGCCCAGCAATGTATCGAAACCTGGCTTTTATCATTATAAGCCTTCAAACATACTGGTAAGGCCTAAAAGAAATGAAAATGTTCTATTTTCAAACATATTTTGTTGATACTTGATATACATTGTAAACTGAGTGACAATGTATATCCTGAAAATACTTCAAGAAATATTAAATCAAATTAATGTAGTCTACCAGGTACAGTACGAGATAATACACAAATAAAATGCTAAAACATTTGCATCATCAATTCCAACTCCTTCGTAGAAAACAACAAAGTCCCTCTATATTCCACTTAACTATTCAATATGACTTGTCATAATACTACAGATCATCAAAAACAATTTCAGTTATTTCTCCCACCTGGTGTACTTTTGTTTGTATACTTTTCAGAGTTCTGTTTTGTTTGAATAATAACTAATACAGTAAAATAACTGACATTAAAGTAAGCGCACAAAAACACATATTTTCTTATAATATACATGTTTTTGATTAATGGATTTATAGTATAAATGATAAAATACTATGTCTAACTCTAAAGATTCTTTACTTCCCCATCTACTTGAAAACACCTAATACACTTTCATATCAGGTCTGAGAACGTTTCATAATTTAACTGAACAGAGTCATTTGTGGCAGAGAAATATTACTTAAAAAAAAAAAAACTTAATTTAACAACTCATAATTTTTTTCTAAGACTTTGATTATCAAATTCAATTCAATTCTCTACAAGCAACTTTTGAGAAAAGGCATATTTTTATCTTCCAAAATATGTGCATTGTACTTGTGTTACTTATCAGTTTGCATGTGGTTTTAATTTTTAACACTATTGTTATCTGGCAATATTTTATGAATGTCAAGACAACTGTGTATGAGAAGTTTTTCCCATTAAAAATATGTTTATTACATAACATAATAACAAAAATTATTCTAGTTTTTCTATTTGTTTTTATTTATGTACCCATGATTCATGAAATTAATTATTTTCTTTTAACATTTTAAGTAAATCTTTGAGTCACAATATGTAAATAATAATACGAATTACAACTTAAAGGGCAAAATTACCTCTATCAGTTGAATGACGTGTCGTTTCATGTTGTTCTCCAGGTCTGTGCTTCCTGTTTTTGGGTTTGAATGTAAACTTGAAGCTAGACAATTTGAAAAAACTTTTCCTATGTTTATCTCGATCTTCTCCATTTATTCCTTCCTATATAGAAAAATGAAAAACAAAAAGCAGACTGAAAAACCTCTTCAAGGTTTGTACACTTTTCCGAAATAAAATTCCAGTACTTTTACAAAGCCCAAACAATAAAATTTCAGAAACATTTGCAACCATAAAAACCAACAAAACCAAAAATACTGTGTTTTTATTAAGCAAAATACAATGTAGCATGAATTACACATTTTACAACACATTTACTTTCTTGAAATAAAAACAACAGTTATACGAACAATATATTTGGCCAACACTTTTTTTTTACTCTCTTTAAGCTCTATAATATCCTTATCCATTTTGTAATGTTGTTCTTTGGCAGCATTCTCTATGAACCGTTTGGCTTTAATAGAAAACAGATTTTCAGAGTTCTAAGCCTTCTCCACCATTTTGTTATTAGAAAACCGAGGAATTATCTTACATTTTAATTCCTTAATTTGTTCTGGGAAAAATATTTTTGATTTTTTTTGTATTTTAAAAAATAAAACTT